GAGACACGAAGATATATGCAACCCCAGAGAAGTTCCGCGCGTGGCCTGGCTAGGTAACTCTTGCGCGTCACGCCTTTTTTATTTACCGCCACGCCTGTGTTGTTGCGACAGACCGGTACTCGAAACTTTCCGAGGACGGTGCCGTCAAAGGCGGAGAGATGGCACCGAGTTGTTGTTGTTGTTGTTGTTGTCTTCACATTAAACCGTATGCCAATTGCTAAATGCCAAAATCTAGCAAAGACTCTGAGCCCGTGGTCACGAGAGTGCTAGAGCCATCTGAGGATGTAAAGAACACGCACACACACGTAAAAGAACAAGGTATACAAGAGCCCGAAGGGGTACACCTAAAATCCCTGGAGCACCGCATATGCAAATATGCGTGCCTAAAAAAAAAAAAAAAACTGAACTGCACGTCCGTCCCACCGTTCGACTACAGTAGCATCACCCCCTGCCTGTCACACTCTGTACCAAAACGACATTGCCGACTACAGCATACTGCTGTCTGAAGCGCTGTCTGTACAAAAACACCATGGTAGGCATGGAACAAGAAGCTGGCGGGGCACAAAGCTGCTGTCTGAAGTGCTGTCAGAATGTGTCTGCGGACGTACAGTGAAAAAGAACAACAAACCAGGCCATGATAGTAATTGACAATCACCCGAATCTCTCCCGATCGTCTGTGTTAGGCACTGCAGTGAAAATATCGACACTAGCTAAGAATCGTTCCACATTGAAGGGGTCTTCCACGATCAGGCACAAAACCAAGGCACCCGGGTTAGCCACGCCATCTCTGACGGTTCTCTCTACAAAACCAGTGACGACGTCATCACACAAAACCAACACCGAAAGTCAGAAAAAAAACCGAAAAAAATGACAACACAGACAGACAGAATAGAAATGTTTCTCCGTGCCCCACGGGTCGATGTCGTCCGCATGCTCCGGTGCCGCTGCTCCATCCGGCGCCGCTGTAGTCAGCCCGAGCAGAACGCCACTCGATCTGCTCCGTCCGTACATGCTCTCGTTGCTGTCCTTCCCAGTCGGTTCCTCGCTTTCTCCCTCGTTGCACTCAAGGTTCTTGGTCTGAAAAAATAAAAATTCTCGCGCCGAAGGGTCAACCAGCCCAGTTCAGCTCGTCGCCACTTGCTCCCTCCTCCTTTGATGGCGAAGCCAGGTTACTGAGGCACTACAGCTCCCTCTAGCAAACCTAGGGCCGTGAAGTGCCCGTCCACCTTTCTGATGATGTCTGCCTCCGCGCACAAAAATGAGATGGGCATCGCTGCCTACGCCGACGGCCAGAAAGGCCCGCGCATCTACATTTTCCCGCCTGACCCCATCAGTGCCGACCCAACTAAACCACCACACGCACGCCTCGCGGCGGAGCGTAGCAGCAAGAAGGTTTCGGTCATCCCTTGAGGGTGAGTCTAGCCCTGCTCGCCAGAAAGACCCCCCCCTTCACTACAACCCATGTCTAAGCAAAAGCTTGTCGAGGAGCGAGGGGAAGAAGGGAGAAGTGTGCTTTAGTGTTTTCCCTCGTCTTTTGTTCGCACCCCGGTGCGATCGCTCCGACCGGTGCGATGCCCAATGAACTACACACAGCGAGCCTCAAGGATTTCAGCGATGTTGTATGCACCCACCCCGGTGCCATCTCTCCGTCGTTTGCGGTACTGCTGTCGAAGCCATGAATAGTTTGTTTGCAGAGCGGCCCAATAGGAGTGCTTCTTGTTTTGCAAAAAAAATGTTTTTTATAATGAGCCGCGGAGGGCGAAGCGCGATATTTCTTCCCTTCTTTCTCAAGGAGGGACAAAGGCTCTAAATATCGGGCTGTTTCAACCATCGCGCTGTAGAGCGCCCCTTCCGCAACCCCCCCGGGGAATGGTACGTCAACATATTTTCGCCTGTATTAGACGAGAACGAGGTCTGTACAGCACCGATTTACAGTCTGCTGGGTTGTGAGGAGGAAGCTAATTCGGGCACCCTCCGTCACACCGGTTTCGTAGCGCTCTGACAACAGATGACCGTGGTAGACACGCATCTGTACCCAAGTTCATTGAAAATTCTTGCCCTCGTCCCCGGGAGTTGGACGAGAAGTAAAGGAACACAAAAAAGCGGACATCTCCTACACACACAACACACGAAGCAGTTATTATTATTAATAGTTGCTCGGTTTACAACCCGGGGGAAGCGGAGGAAGCACTAAGAAAGCTAAACACGCAACACACTCGCGAGGGAAGGGAGCCATACACACAGCTCGTGGCGGGTGTCATTGTCATTGCTGTTGCTTTGGCGTGTGGGGAGAGGGCGGGTCATCGGAAAACGAAACCTTTTGCGCCCTCTGGTAAAAAAACACAACTGATAATCCCAGCAGACAGACGCGGCGTGTGTTTTCTGCAGGCTGTGCCGAACGCTTTTTTTTCAACAAGCTTCCAGCGGGAGCGGGTACAAGGTCGTGGCAGATATGTTCGAATATTGTTCCGCGATGAATTCCGCGCGCTGAGTGCTAGGTTGCTGCGTTGCTGTCAGGAAAGCAGCGTATCTCGCAGCATCGCAGATAGACTACTGCAAGGTATTGAGTCGTCACCCGCGGTTCATTACCCCGCTATCTAGTACTACAGTAGACAGGGGGGCAAAGTACACAGCCTTTTTCTGCGTCGTGCCGGGTCATAAAGCCCCACGAGACTGGAGCCCATTTCACCATCTAGGCACCAAGCGAGAATCTGAGACTTGTGTGCCCAACAAGTAGAAGTAGAAGTAGAAGTAGAAGGAACATTTTGCCTGAGTGATGACAACTGCTTCCAGCTAAATCGGTGTACAATACAGTGCATCGAGTATTGAAGGCATCTGCGCCGAAGTTACAGTCGGGAAGCGAGCAGCGTCCCCCCCAAAAAACCGGGGCAGGTGTGATTTTGTTGGTTCTCGGCTGCTGTGTGCTCAGCAGCAGGTGCTACTGTGGGCAAGACACACACTACACAGAGACAGGAAACATGGACAAGGGGGGCGGGCGACACCCATACACACACCACCGGGAGAGCGACAGGAGAGCAGAAAGGAACTTTTGGCGGTTGTGAGCAGCGTCGTCATTTTTTTTTTATCTTGTCATCAGACCCTTCTTTATGGAAACATAATGTTGCAAATATATCGTGGCATTTTGACCCAAGATTTGGTCATAATATATCTCCGCGAAGATTTGCAGTATCGCGATTTATGGGGGAAATATCTTGAATGTTGAAAAAGCGGCGTGTTGTTCCTCTCTTCTGCTTGAAGTTGATAAAGGCACAACGGCCATTTGGTCCACAGAAAATGCCGAGGTGTGGCGAAAAGGGAGCATGACGCAGTTGTATTAGGGGCGTCCCTCCCCCAGCTGTATTGCCTCAACACTGTGGGTGGGTACTAGCGATGGGCGCCTACCTGCGGTGCAAAATAGAAGCCGTTTGCCCACGAGATCATGTCAAGCGGAGAAACAAAAATTGTTTCATTGCTGTCCAACTGACAAGAAAGTGCATCAACCCGAGGCCGATGACACCCATGCACGTATCTCACTATGTGGCAAGCATACCGAGGTCAAACCTCCGGCGCTGTCATCTGCACTCACGGATTTGGCTCGGGTGCAAACGGGTTGGGTGCGGGGTGATTCGATGAAGAGATAGAAGCGTCGCACACGACAGAGCAGTGTTGGCAAAACGTCCCTCCTCCTCTATTTTTCTACTTCAAAATAAAGTACTCTTTGAACGGTCCCTCGAGAGACTGGTGGTGACGCACGCGGAACGAGCCAGGGCAAATGCGCATTTTTTTCGACCGCCTTTGTGGGTTGTTTTGGTTCGCTGTCGGCGCCCGTGGCGCCGACACAGTGATGCCAGGGTGCGTTAGAGACCCTTGCGAGTGTGCCACGTGCAGACTTCATGGCGTTATGGACGATTAGATTGACTGACCTTCGGTGATCGCGCCGCACCTAGGCAAGATTTGTTACACCGCCTCAAGATTTGTCGGAAGGCTCGTTTCGACAGATCTTGGGTCAAGATTTGTTCGAAAGGGCAGATTTCGGGCCTCGAAAAATGTTGGCCAAGATATATCGGAAGCTTTCGCTCCCATACATCGTGAAACTGGCAGATCTTGGCCAAGATCAAGATTTATCGACAAGATTTTGTTCCCATAAATCGGGGTCTCTCAGCAAGAGAGAGGACAGAGGCACACCAACACGCTGCTAGAATTGATTATGCATGTACTGCTGTAAACCTCTCCATACTTGTGTGCGAGGGCCTAGGGTGCCACCTGTGTGTTCCGTACTAGTCTGGTCAACCATCACACGCGTTTGCCTCAATCAACGCTCGAACCAGAGGAACATTTATATATATTTTGCGCTGCTATTAATAGCTGATATGAACACCACCCCTCTTTAGCTAATGACGATGAACACCACCACCCCTCTCCATGATGAACACCACCCCCGTCTCTAGCTGATATGAACACCACCCCTCTTTAGCTAATGACGATGAATACCACCCCCCCTCTCCATGATGAACACCACTTCCCTTCTCCAGCTGATGATGAACTCCACCCCCCCTCTTTGTAAATCACACTGGTGCCCCCCACACCTCAACGCTGCTGTATGGTAAACCAGTCAATGGTATAGCAACGCACGAGCCTGGCTGGAGGTAATGTTTTTCTCAAAACTAAAAAAAAAATGTTCCACCTCCCGATCCAGTAGAAGCGCACCTGCCAACCTTTCCTCCTGTCTTGTGTGTATTCTTGCTGTGCCTGTACAGCAATACATGTACCCGAACAATTCCGAGAACGGTGGCGGCAATTTTATTTTTCCATAGAAGCGCCTCCGTATTGTATCTGCCGCCTTCCCCAGTCCTCAAGTCCTCAAACCGAGTTCTACAAGCAGCAGCAGCTGCAGCACTAGCAGCGGCAGCAGCTAAACCCTAACCTTGAAGGGCGCCGCACGTCGCGGGTTGCGATGTACATAAATATACTGCTGTAGGTTGTCGGCTCTGCCGCTACTGATGTTTCTGACCAGTACACGACACCTCCAGCAGCCCTCTTTCCTTCTCCTCACAGGGGCCACCGACATCATGCAGGGGATGGAGACCTTGGCGGTGGGTTGGCATTGTTGTGGGAAGTAACGGTACTGCTGCTGTGCTGCAGGCTGCGCTCGGTCTCTCTGGTTGCCGTGTGTCTTCCTCCTCCGCGCAGAACGGTCCTGGGATACGTACCCCACGCTTGACCCGACTGTTTGATGTACGATCCACCGACCAACAAAATGAAAATGGCGCACCCAGCCCACACATGACACTTTGCACGGCAGGCGATCAACAATCATAGCCAGGGTGTGCATTGTTATACTCAAAAAGATGGGTTTCAGCTCCACTTCGTGCCCACCTCGCCTGCAAATTGAGGGTGCATTGGTGAGGGAAAGGGGAGAGAATTCGGGCGTTATTCCGTCACAAAACTTTAGATACGTTCCTCCAGCAGCGGCCTGGCTTCGCGCATTTGTCGTAGGCTGGTAGGGTACGCCCGACGAATTGGCGAGACAGGAAGATAGGTGCCATGCGCCCCACAGAAGTTCCACGGGTCGCCTTGCAATCTGGCAAGCAAGCTGGTTTTCTTGCGTGGTCCCACGATTTTTTGTTCTTTTCCGCATTTTTTTCTTCCGCTAAAATATATATAATAACGTTCACCGAAGTCGTAGCATTTTTTCCGCCACGTTAGCATGGTCCAACCTAGATGTTCTGGGGGATACTTTTGATGTTGCGCAACACAGCCGCAGCTGCTGTTCGTGGCAAGTAGATGGTCTGCGGCACAATTTTTCGCGCTCACGCAAAACAATAGCCGCGATGCGCCGCTGCTGAAAAAGAAGCAAGTTCAAGTTCGCTTGTTGCTTGTTGTGAGAAAAGGGTCTTACCCCGCGGGTACAAATCAGAATCAGTGACCCCCTCAGAACTTTTGTTGTTATTCAACACAATCTGGTGCAGCAGCATGTACATGACTATCGTGGTGCAGCAGCTTGGCGACCAGCGGGTAAATAGAGTCTTCCCGGAGCAATTGCTGTGGTTATGTTTCTCGGCATGATTCAGCGCACGAAGAGATATTTTGATGTGTTTGGTGTGTGCCTCTCTGTTCCGCGTGTTGTTTAATTCTTTGATTCACAGCAAACGGCCGGCGTACGCGACGGTATCGGCGGCGAGATGCAACGTGCCCCCGCCAGTGGAGGCCAAGCGGGCCTTGCAGCAGCAGCAGTGGTCGAGCCCACCACGGTAGAGGTGCGTATCACAGCAGTTTACCAATTTTCACACCAAAGACATCATGTATTTTTTAATGTGTTTTTTAGTCCATTGCCCGACCTTCAGCTCAGAAACCTGGTACATACAGCAGCAGTTCCATGCTCGAACTCCCCTCCCTGCCCCCCCCTTCTCCGCCCCTTCGCAGCGGCTTGACCATGTTGGCAAGCTTCTCGCCGAAAAGAAACCTTGGCCCGCCTTTCTCCACATCGGAGCTCGAGCAACGGAAGAGTGGGAGGCTTGCCCCACCCCCGTACAGGAGGCTCTTGCATGGATGACGACCTCAGCAGTTGGGGTGCTCGGCGTTGCGAGCGTCGGGCCCTTAGTGCCTGTGTGCGAGGCCTTCAAGGCGTTGATCGAGGCCGCCGAGGGTGCAGCCGAATGCCAAGACAAACTACAGAGCTTGGTGTCCCAGTGCGCGTTCCTCGCCACCGTCTTGATCCAGCACGGTCGAGCGGTGGGTCCCCTCGCCCAGGTGCAGAAGCCCATCCAAGACTTCGTCGTCACGACCAACGAGCTAGCAGGGTTCGCGGCTAGGTGGGCCAAGGGCGGCAAGTGTAGAGCGTTTTGTTGCCATCGTCCCGACCTGAGCGCCCTCGCCGGCTTCGAGGAGTGCCTCCGCAGGATAGGGAGCGACATCGCCTTGGTGGACGGGCTGGAGCACCACCAGTCGTTCTTGGCGGCGCTTCCCTCTTTGCTCCCCCCAAGCTTGCCGGACATGGCCGCAGTTCCCACAGGAGCCCTTGAGTTGCCCAGCAGCAGCTACGTGGAGCGAGCTGCGGTACAAGAAGTTGCCGACGGCCTCACCACCCCGGAGGAGTCCCGTGCCCCCTACACCGTCGTCGGTATGGGTGGAGGGGGGAAGAGTGTGCTGGCCTCTGCTGCCGTTCGCAAGCCGAGCGTGAGGGAGCACTTCCGCGGCGGTATTTTCTGGGTGAGAGTGGGCAGGGGCGCGAAGAGCAGCCTCCTGGCTCTCCTCCAGGGCCTCGCCTGGGACGTGGGCGCGGCGCCGACGGATGCTCCGCACGGGGTGCCTCATGTCCTCGACCGCCTCGAGCAGGTGCAGCAGCATCTGGCTGCAGTTGCATCCACCGGCACCTCCCCACGCCTGGTGGTCCTGGACGATGTGTGGGAACGCGAGGTCGTGGATGCGTTTGTTCCTCTGGGATTCAAGGTGCTGCTGACCACGCGTGATCGATCGGTCGTTGGTTTGCCGGCCGGACGCTTGGAGCTGGGAGACATGACGGAGGAAGAGGCGCTGGAGCTGCTGCGGAAGACGAGCGGGACTGTGGGTCAGCCTGGTGACGATGTCCGGACGAAGATGACCAAGGTGATGGATGCGCCTTGAATCTTAGGTCGACAAGGTGTATCAGGGTGTGCTTGTTTTTTTGCTGATGCATGGTTTCATACATTGGTTGTCTGCTTGAGTGCTGCCTGGAGTTGAGCTTAGCATCGGTTGGTGGCTTGATGCTGAGTGTCACAGGTGTTTATGCGACGAACAACGCACGTCGAGGTTGGGTTGGTGTGCTTCAGTTTGCTCTGATTGCATGCCCTCCGTTCCCGGTGTCGCGAAAAAGGCATGACACCAATGACGGCTTTGATGTTGAGTGGTGCGTGCACTTGTGTTTGTCGATGGTCAACCCATGTCGTCGCTAACTATCTCCTCGTAGAGCCTTCTCTGTTTAGTCGCTTCAACTTGTAGTTTCGATACATGTCGGAAGCGTTAACCGTGTGGTAAGGGCCCTCCATAGAGCTGTTGCGCCCTGTGTACATGCAAGAGTTATGCACTGCTGTCAAACACATTCATCATCGTGCTTGACTCGACTGAGCATTCAACTCCCGACGAACGCCGATCCAGGTCGTTGCGCTCTGTGGACACCTACCGTTGGTGCTCGCTATCGCGGGTTCCATGTCCGTCGTGAGAGGGAAGGGCTTGACCGCCGTCGCCTGGGAAGAGCTGGCTAAAGAGTTGGAGAACGTGGCCAAGAAAATGCGAGCTCGGGGCGAGCAGTCATCGTCTATGAAAGTGGTCCTTGAGACCAGTTTCGACTCGTTGGCAGTGCGGAAGCAAGAAGAGTTCCTGAAGATGGCTGTGTTGGCCGCGGGTGCTCTTGCACCGATCGAGATGCTGCGCAATCTGTGGGAGGTAGAGGTACGTCGGGGCGTCCCTTTTACCAGGTAGTTGGAAGTGTTGAAACGGTTTGCAAATCATCTGTCTGTTATATATGTACGGGCACGTTTAGTGGGTTGTGCGGCAGAGAGAAGTGAATATGCCCTGGTTTATACGGTCTTCGAAGTGTGCTGCATGTTGACCCCAGTTCATGTATTCCCGGTGTTTCGTGTATCTGCAGGACGCTGAGGGTACGCGAGACGACGCTGAGGGTCTAGTGAGCAAATGCCTTCTACACGCTGTGGGAGGTGGTGGGTACCGTGTGCACGACCTGGTCCTGGAGTTTGCGAAGACTAGCATCAGGGCAGAGGAGGAGACGGTGAAAAAGGCCACAGCGCTGCAGGCGCAGTACCTCGGCAGATTGGACGTGCTCGAGGGTTACGGAGACCCGGAACACGGCGCTGGAGGCCAAGGCCTTTTCTTTTTGGATGCCCTCTGGCGCTCGGTGGAGAAGCTCTCGGGTGACCCTGAGCTGGAGGTTGCATCGTATCACAACAGCCTCGGGGAGTTGGAGTCCTGTGAGGCGACAAAAGCCGTGGCGCGATCCTACTGGTCTGTAGGTTTCTTGTTCAACATCCAGGTACGGCAGATGTTTTTTGGGGGAATTCTGCACTGTTCGGAGGGTGCTCGTTGTCTAGTGTGGTACAAGGGCGCTTCGCGCACGACCGCTTTCATCGGTCGCCGCTACGTTTTTTGTTCTGTATGGCGATGTCAAGTGTGTGCGGGTTGAGTTTCGAGATTCGAGGAAAAGTGTGGAGCGCATGTCGTGCGTCATGACGCTCGCGTGCTCTTGTCGAGAGCGTTTCTGCACGCAGGAATGACAGAAAGATTGCTTGTATTCATTAAAGAGTGAGACATGGGCAAGGGAAGGAAGAGCGCGTCAAGTCCATCACACCCATCAGATCTGCGTAACCTCCGGAGATGTATGATGTAGTGTCCCTGTACATGGTGCGGTTGGAAATATTGTTCCGTCTAGACAAAACGTTTGTTTTTCGCAAGGCGTTCGATGACAAGCGTGCTCGCAACTCTAGGTTATTCGAAGTTTTGGCGAGTCGTTTCGTTTCAATCTTTCAATTGTCGTCGACGCTACCCCCTCCCACCAACTGGCAAATGAATGAGCGTCTTCTTTTGAAGAAGAGGAAGGAGCGTCATGTTCTCCAGATAGCATGTGGCCGTCGTTCTTGCTGAGAGAGGACTGGTCAGAATTCGTCCACCCATGTTTGCTCTTTTCCCTTCTTGGTGAACCACTGCCCTTAACACAACCCACTGCTTTTGGTTCAGGGCAAGTACGCGGAGGCCGAACCACTCTATGAGAGGTCACTGGCCATACAGGAGAAGGTCTTGGGTCCGGAGCATCCTGATGTGGCTACGTCGCTCGACAACCGGGCATCGTTGTTGGAGAGACAGGTGCGGCACAAACGATGCTTGTAGAAGATAATGTGCTCCGCTGTTCTACCCAGAGCATTGTGGATTTCACTGAGTTCTGGTTGTACGCCGTGCTCTTGACCACGTACCGTAAGGATACGAGAGATCGTACCAGGTGCGATCGACACTGTACTGTTTTCTTCTGGTCTTTTTTTTCCGCATGCCGATACCATCTCTCCGACCGGTGCCATTTGTTACACCTGTGCGGAAATAGATCATTTTCCCGTAACATTTTCAAGGCACCTCAGTCCCCGGTGCCATCTCTCGCACTACTACGGTATTCCGAACAATAGGCTTTTCGTTCCAGTGTGCATACAGATGTATATATCGTACTGTACAGGAATCACACACGGCAGCCACAGCAGCAGTCGTTTATTGTGATGGGGACGCATCACATGGGTACCAATGTTGCCGGCTGCAAGGCATAGCGGCTGAGGACTCTGGTAGGCAGCAGCCAGTGGTCATGGCATGTACTTCGAGTTGGCTTTGTGTTACCTAATGTAGAGGTAGTTTGTGACTAATGTGTTGTGTGTTTTTTGGTTGAGCGGCAAATCCTTACCGATGATTTGTATGCAACAGACATTTTACCGTGTGGACTACGACCGTAAATGAACGAGTGTTGCTCCGATGATTCCGTCACCACATGCATGTAAAGGGTGGCCAGGTTCCTCATTACAGCAGGTCAAAAGGTGGCCTGGGCCCACTAGCACTCTATCATGTTGTTCCTCAAGGGGCCCTGCATGTAAAACTCTTGGATCACCCTTACGTTACGTGTCAATACTGGTCGCGCGGAGGGGTGTGGGAGAGGCCTTATATGTCCCCGGGGGGGAACTTTTGACTAAATCCCCGTGGTTTCCAGGGTTGTTCACGGTCCGAAGCGGTTAGGAGCGTGAGATTTCCCTTGAGATAAACCGCTCCGCTCCTTGACACGAACAAAGAAATCGCTCCGCTCCGTGGGAATCATAACTCGGATAAACAGCTTCGCCGTGCTCCGTGATATTTTGAATTGAAACAATCCGCTCCGCTCCGAACCGTGAAATGTCAAAATTGAAAAAACCTCAGGGTTGCTCACGGCCCATTTTTTTTCCACGGTTCGGAGCGGGTTTAAACCGAACCGCTCCGAACCGTGAGATTTTGCATTGAGAAAAACCCTCCGCTCCGTGAGATTGTAGCCTTAGATAGACCGCCTCGCCCCGCTCCGTGAGATTTTTGGGGGAAAGAAACAGGTACGCTCCGAACCGTGAAATTTCACAAATGAAAAACCGCTCCTCGGTTCGGTCATAAACCGTGAACAACCCTGGTGGTTTCGGCATTTTTCGCGCGCGTTTTTTACCGCGTGCGAGATCCCACACAGCGCTGTAGTGGGAATTTCGAAACACTCCCCATGGGGTTCCTGCGGCCCCCCCCTCGGTGTTTGCCTTCGGGATTGGGTTTTCGTCGCATGGCAACGACGTTGTAAAGCAAGCCAATTCACTTCGTGAACTCGGCAACCAGGTTACCGTTTTTTTTTTTTTATTACCTCTTTTTTTTTTGCGGTAATCGCAATGGTGGTCGAGTAGATAATGTTGTGCGGGGTCGAGAACCCTCACTCCGCGCAAAGGGGGGTGATCGCACCACGTTGTGTTAAAATGGTCAAGCATCCTCGAGGCAGTTACACCGTGCTTATAACTGTCTCTGGAAGTGAAAGCACCAGAAAATAAATTAAGTCATACGCAGCTGTCATCCGTACGCAAGGAAGTAAGCACAAGATGTCGAACACCCTTAGCAGGATGCAGCTCACCCTTCATGCGACTCGCCAAATACCTCACGACACTTCGCGCTTGGTGTTGTGAGAGCCTGGTCCGGTGAGAACCCGGCGTGCTCCGTCCCGGCTTTGTAGGGATGCGAGGTCAGTGGTCTAACGACTACGGCATGCACGACTATGAGTACATCCCCCCCCCCCCCTTCGGGGTTGGGTTTTCGTCGCTTGGCAACGACGTTGTAAAACATGCCGCCGCCCCCGGTGTTTGCCATCGGGATTGGGTTTTCGTCGCATGGCAACGACGTTGTAAAGCAAGCCAATTCACTTCGTGAACTCGGCAACCAGGTTACCGGGTTTTTTTTTATTACCTCTTTTTTGTTTGCGGTAACCGCAATGGTGGTCGAGTAGATCATGTTGTGCGGGGTCGAGAACCCTCATACTCCGCGCAAACGGGGTAATCGCACCACGTTGTGTTAAAATGGTCAAGCATCCTCGAGGCAGTTACACAGTGCGTACAACTGTCTCTGGAAGTGAAAGCACCAGAAAATAAATTAAGTCATACGCAGCTGTCATCCGTACGCAAGGAAGTAAGCACAAGATGTCGAACACCCTTTGCAGGATGCAGCTCACCCTTCATGCGACTCGCCAAATACCTCACGGCACTTCGCGCTTGGTGTTGTGAGAGCCTGGTCCGGTGAGAACCCGGCGTGCTCCGTCCCGGCTTTGTAGGGATGCGAGGTCAATGGTCAAACGACTACGGCATGCACGACTATGAGTACACCCCCCCCCCCCCCCCAC